TTTTTTTTTTGACACAAGTACTGTAAATATTTATTTTGATGATACAATTTCATAAAGTAGAAAAGTAACAAAAAATAAATAAAAATAATATGATTACAATAGTATCCCTCGATGTAGAGTTCTTCTAGGGGTGTATATATTGAGAATTTTGAGTTTAATTTGGACATTTTAAATTTTAAAAGTCCTTATTCATTTCAGATATTGAAAGTTTTAAGATGTCTCGAATTTAAAATAGTTCTGTCACTTAGAATATCAAACGAAGACACTTTCTTAAGTGATGTTCTTGTAGTAGAAATTCGAAGAGATAAATTGAAAGATATTTTTATTTCACAATATCTGGAAATCGTACATGCATGAGTGCATTTATATCACATGTACAAAGTAAACGGCTTTGTATTACATTGCACTAGACACACCACACACTACGAAGCCGTATCAAGTCTAGAAACGAAAAAACGCAACCCCGATTTAAGTCGCACACGACTTATTCCTAACAGCTAGAGAAAGCTGTTATACCGCAACTTAGAGACAAAAAAACTAAGAGAGTGAGAATTCAATCATTTCTACACCCCCTCCTCAAGTTGGAGTGTGATGGAGTTTGACAAACACCCAACTTGAACAGGACGCTGAAACCAGCAGATGGTAGGAGTTTGGTGAAGAAATTGGCAAGCTGAGTCGACGAGTGAACATATGTGGGATTAACAAAGCCTGCTTTGTACTTTTCTAGGACTCTATGGCAGTCAATCTCCAAGTGTTTTGTTCTTTCGTGAAACACGGAGTTGGCTGCAATATGCATAGTTGCATTATTGTCACACCAGAGATTGATTGGCAACGATGGAAGCACATCAAAACTCTTTGATCAGAGAATAAATCCATTGCAATTCACACACGATTGTCCCCATAGACCTGTACTCGGCTTCAACCGAAGACCTTGCCACTGTCACTTGCTTCTTACTCTTCTAAGAGATGAGGCTATCTCCAATAAACACACAATACCCGGTGATGGATCAACGTGTATCTTTGCGTGGAGCCCAATCCGCATCACAAAAAGCATTCAATCTTGTGTTTGACTTAGAGCCGAAGAAAAGACCAAGATCTATTGTGCCCCTTAAGTACTTGAGCACAGATATAGCTGCATCCCAATGCTCACTGAAAGGGTTGTTAACAAATTGGCTTAACTGTTGAATTGCATAGCTCGCATCTGGTCTTGTCATGTTCAATATAGGAGTCTTCCTATTAGCCTCTTGTATTTTTCAGGTTCTGACAGAGGGTGTCCATCAAAACCAGTCAACAGTAATGAAGTTGCTGATTCCTTGAAGTCAGCCATGCCCATTACTTGAAGCAGGTCAATAATGTATTTCTTTTGGCACAAATGAATCCCTTATGCCCTTCTTGAAATTTCAACTCCAAGGAAATACTTAGCAACCCCCAAATCTTTAATGGTAAAGAGGTCATGGAGATGTTTCTTTAAGGAAGTTGTCTATTCTACATTAGGAGTCCATTGCAAATAGAGCTGGAAGAGTCAATGTTGACAATTCTTCTGGCATCGTGCAAATAATGGACTAGATCAAAATGACTCAATTAAATTTTAGTGCTTCTTCTATTAGTGAAGTTTCTAGAAACAATATATCAAACGACGCAACGCACCTTGGGTCGCTATGGAAACAGCCTCCTTGTATAATTACAAGGGTAAGGTCTGCGTACAACTGACCCCCCAGACCCCAACCTGTTTGGGAATATACTGGGTATGTTGATGTTGATGTCTATTCTACATTAGATCCCATGATGAACATCATCCACATAAACCAGCATGGCAAGAAATTGTCCACCCTTGTGTTGTGTGAGCAGACAATGATCTTGTGTTTACATCTAGCTGCAATATGGGCCACCCTCTAATGGCAGCTATGGTCACAAACATTCTCATAGTTACAAGTTTTGGCACCGAAGAAAAAACATCAAAGTAATCAACACCTACCTGCCACATGAAGGAATCCCTTAGCTACTAGCATCCTAGCTAAAAGTTGAGGTATGTGTGGGCCAACGCCCAGAATCTAGTGTTCGATATAGATGATCATGATCAAGAGACGAGCTTCTCGGGCATCATCGACAATGTCATGTCCAATCCCGTAGTGCATGGCATAAACACTCTATGCCTCTGGTGCGATAATTTCGTTTCCACGAACAAAATTGACAAATGGGTCTTCACAGCCATTCAGAATCTAGTGTTCGATATAGATGATCATGATCAAGAGACGAGCTTCTCGGGTATCATCGACAATGTCATGTCCAATCCCGTAGTGCATGGCATAAACACTCTATGCCTCTGGTGCGATAATTTCGTTTCCACGAACAAAATTGACAAATGGGTCTTCACAGCCATTCAGAAAAATATACGGAACCTCGGGATTCATGTTTACACGGATAATCTGGAAAATAAGTACCATGTGCCGGTGTCTGTCTTCAAGTGCGAAAGTCTTGTTGCATTGAGTCTGTATGACTGTGTCGTCCCCTGTTTTAATGATGAGATATACTTGTCTAACCTCAAGGTGCTGAGTTTAGTATGCGTTAGACATGAAGCTGAGGAGGGACCCTTATGATTGATTTCACATTGCCCGGTGCTTAAAGATCTGTTCGTATTCACGATCAACAGCTGCTATGAACTTGACTTCCTTCACTGTAAAAAAACTCGAGGTTGAATATTGCCACGTGTATAAGGACGACAACCCAAAAAAGGGGGTCAGGAGGTTACATTGTCCTGCACTTATGTATTTGGTGTTGATTGACCAACACAACCTTAGATATTGCAGCTTGTGCAATGCATTCACCGATCGCTGCAAACTAAGTTTGGTCACTATGGTCATGGTGTGGAACAAACCTGTCTCCTTTTACTTCGTTTGTTGTTTGTGCAACAGGCTGAGAGTGACTATTGAAAAGTGTCAGTATTCAACTTAATTTATCGTATCATTTGTAAATTTAATTCGACACTGTTTTCATACTCGCTGCATTTTTTGTAATAATTGTTGCTGGTTATTTGCAGCTCCCTTTCAAGATAATATCAATTTCCAGGTTTGATAATTGTACCGTGCTCGAGTTAGATGCCGACTGGTGTTTCCTCAGGGAGTTCTTGAAGAGTGCCGAGAACTTTGAAGTCCTAATTCTCCATAATGTTAGTTGATCAAGAAAAGGTACTTTAGATATGGCTGCTGCTCAATGACTTTTGTAAAATGATATGGTTGTTTCTCTTATCAAGGTGATAATTCAGTTCCCAGAATTTGGGAGGAACTCGAAGAAGTGGCGATGTGCCTGCTATCCCATCTTTTAATGGTGAGAATTGATAAGTATACGTCTTCCGAGGATAAAATGGTCAAGTACTTCCTAAAGAATGCTAAGATGCTGAATAAGATGGAAATCATGATTGGCGAGTTTGATTCGCACTCAGAAGTGCTCCAGAAAATTGCCTTGTTTGAGAGGGTCTAAGGATGTGAGCTTGTATTTTCCTAGATTGATTAGGGATTCAAATTTGTCAAGTGGAGAGAGATTCTTGAATTCTTTTGTCTTGCTTATGTTTTTTTTTTTTTTTTTTTTTTTTTTTTTTTTACTATTTTGTGGACGATAAAAGAAATAGACATGAGGCATGAAATGAAGAGGATCGGGCGTGTGCATAATTTCCATCTGTCTATATGCCAGGTGGAAATAGTAAAAAAAATAGTATCTTCATTTCAAGAAATAAAAAATTATGCCTCATGTCTGTATTTTTTATCGTCCACAAAATAGTAAAAAAAAAATAAAATAAAAAAACATAAGCAAGACAAAAAGAATTCAACAATATCTCTTCACTTGACGAATTTGAATCCCTAATCAATCTAGTAAAATACAAGCTCACATCCTTGGACCCTCTCAAACAAGGCAATTCTCCGGAGCACTTCTGAGTGCGAATCAGACTTGTCAATCATGATTTCCATCTTATTTAGCATCTTAGCATTCTTTAGGAAGTACTTGACCATTCTATCTCGGAAGGCGTATACTTATCAATTCTCACCATTAGAAGATGGGATAGCAGGCACATCGCCACTTCTTCGGAATCCTCCCAAATTCTGAGAACTTAATTATCACCTTGATAAGAGAAAACAACCATATCATTTTACAAAAATCATTGAGCAACAGCCATATCTAAAGTACATTTTCTTAATCAACTAATGGAGAATTAGGACTTCAAGGTTCTGGGCACTCTTCAAGAACCCCCTGAGAGAAACACCAATCGACATCCAACTCGAGCCGGGTACAATTATCAAACCTGGTAATTGATATTATCTTGGAAGGGAGCTGCAAATAACCAGCATCAATTATTACCAGAAATGGAGCGAGTATGAAAACAATGTCGAATAAAATTTACACACGATACAATAAATTAAGTCGAATACCGACACT